TTGTTGAAGTTTGTGCATTTTTATCCGGTTTTAAAGTGGTCGGACACTTTTGACCGGGGAGTGTACATGTACATGTAAACAGAATTGGCGATTTCGAATTTGAGCTCAGTAAATTTTTTTTTATTCGAAGCACTAACTAAAAAAAAGGGATACTAGATCATACACGTACATCAACGTTAATACATGTGCATATAAATGTTCAGTCGCCTAAAAAAGTAATATGCGAACAATGAAAAATCAAAGACACTTTTTCAACCACATGTATTTTTTATTAATAAAGATTTTTATTTCCTAAAAATCGGTCCAATTAGAACAAAGTTTTTATTGTTTACCATAAAATTGATCCTTAGGCTTTACTTTTACATGTATTACGCCATGTAGGGGGAGATAACTCCTACATGAATTATATTCGTAACCGAAGGTTGAACAAAATAATCGAAACATAGGTTGAGAAATCAAATGTAACCTTATCTCTACTCGTAATCTGTTTTATATTCTCACATGCATCCCCGCACCTCGTGATGTCGGCGACCAATACTCTGTTTATTTACAAAACCTCCAATGTAAAATTATATTTACTCGCATCAACCTGAAGGACAAGCATTTCAAGGAATCACGGACACTAATCCTGACAATTATGCTATTGAAATTGGTCCATATCATGAAACCTTCACCGAACTAGGTGTAGATATTGCCTGCCCTGGCACTAAGCCTTTTAAAGGAAGTCATTCAAGAGATATTACTCTTATGTACGGTCAAACACTTTATGTAAAGCATAATGAGCAAATTATCGATCAGGGAGTTGTTAGCTAAGTCTTAATGTTGAAAGATATTATGGCTGTAAATTAAAATATCATTAAAGGCATCTTTGAGTTGTGGACAGTTTAATTGTTCGTGCAAAGTAGAATTTCATATGGATTCTGTTTTTACAAATAGCATAGTCTTATCAATGTTATCATTAATAAAGACGTTGATTGCCATGACATTTTAATTTTATGGGTGTAGTTTATAACAATCCTACTCGCATATTCTTTAAATGGTTAAAATGTAGTTATTGACTCATTATTATGGCAATTAAAAGTTTTTTTATAATATCTTTTTTAAAACTTCTCTTCGCTGTTCTAAATATTTTTTTCGACCTTTCATTTTTGAAATCGTAATATCAAATAAAGTTAAAAGTATTCTCCAAAAAGCAAGAATTTTATACCAGATCAAAAGAGAATTGTGGCATTCATTTGGCATTTACAAGGTTGTCCATATGACGCATTTGGTTATACTATCAAACATTTCCTATTATGGGTCGGTGCAAAAAGATTTGTACCTCAAAATAAAAATTAATAATTGCTTCTAATAAAAATCATTCAAATTTTAACCAATCTTTATAATTTTTTTATATTAAGTAAA